AAAAATGCTTTTGAGGAATTAGTTTCTACCTCTCTTCCTGCTTGCAAAAAAAAACCTATCATTCACCTAGCAGCAGAAAATTCCCAATTCTTGATGACTAGAACTTTGAGGAATTTCTGGACCATTGAAAGTCACCCAGACACGGATAAGATAAAAATCCATACTCCAGCCCATCTAGTTTGTGTTATTGCTGTTTAGTGGTGGCTCCTTGTTGTTGATTTTCAAATAAACAACCATTATTGAGATTACTCCACTGTAATCAAGCAAGCTAGTAGAAAAGAACATCCACTTTAAAAAGTAAATAGTCGAAAGGAGCAAGCTGCATTTTCTATAAAGGCAGATAACCTGACTGTGGAAGACAGAATACACACAGCTCTTAAAAAAATAATTAAATCTTCATTTCACAGTCTTATCAGGAAATTACTTTTTCAGAAGGCCAAAAATAAGTTTGCTTCTCAAAAAAGAAAAAGTCAGGGGAAAAAGCCTTTTCCTGCATTTCCCTTCTGTTAGTGTTAAGCTTTAGACATAGGAATCTGTGACCCTGGAGACAAATAGTGACTCAAAAAAAAAAAAAAAAAAAAATCCCTGAAAAGATTTAAATGTAAAAATGCAGTCTATTAATGGAGGTAACTTTTGTTTTTCCCCTCAATAAGGCTTAAGTTTTTGAACAAGTGGGACATTTATAGCAGCTTAGAAAACCTAGATATTGTCATTAATCACGAAACAACCAAAATAAATGAACTGCACTGAATAATTCCCACAGCAGAATGAGAAAATAGCTAAGGTTCTACCAGGGATTGAAAGAATACCTTGTTTTGCAAGTGACTGCATGCTGTTTGGTATACTTTTTTTTACAGAAGCCCCAACTCAGGTGCTACTGTGGTTGGCTGGCTTGTAGTAGCAGTTCTATGGGGTGAAATTTGTGTTGACTATTTCATTTCTTTCCTTTTGATGGTATCACTCTGGAATGCCCAGGCCTCCATGCTGCTCATTCTCCAGCTCCTATAAACTGAAACTATTGATTCTCTGAGGGTTGGAGACCCAGTGTCAAAGCTGGAGGCCGATATTTTATGTCAGAAATTCCATAGGGTATATTTGTTTTCAATTGTGCTTATTCCATCTTATGGTCCCTCCTACACCAAACATCTGCAGACTTCAAATATAGTCCCAATTTGTAATTTAGGAACAATGAGTCCACAGCCAACAACCCAAGTACTAGTCTAACTATAGTAGCAACTGTGCTTTGAACTTTCTTGACTGAGTAGTAATTGAAGAAGAGAAATTACAGACTTATACAGTGTGTGTGTGTCACACTTTTTGCAGATTGATTTTTCAGGACAACTCACTGCACCTAAATTCTGCATTGCTTTCCAAAGAGGAAAGAACTCAGATTATGAAGCCAATTGTTCAGCTTTCTGGGGTTTTAACTGTAACATGGACTGATCTTTGGAATTAGATACAAACATGACTTCAAGGATAAAATCCCCCAATTTTTGTTTTGACTGTATCTATCATTCCAATAAAAAAGGATCCAGTGAACCTGCATCTGGCAACATTCAAGAAGGAAAGGAAGGGAGGCAGTTCAAAGCATCTGTTTACTCCATCCAAATGTATTTAGATGCAGGTATTCTCAGCCTCTGTTCTTACAATAAGAGGAAAACCACAGAGCATATACAGCAATTAGGGCTGAGACCATCCAGATCTATCTGAAACATTTATAGACAAAAGGAAAATTTCAAAGGGAGTAGGAATTAAAAGGTTAAGGGGGGAAAGAAGACTGAATCTCCATGAGAAATAGTGACTTAAATTCACACAGTAAACATTTCATTGGTGTTTTGTTTTGCTTTGTGATTTATGATCTATAGATGCAACTTCTTAGATTTAAGATAGCAAGGATCTGAGATACATAATTTGTCAGAGTAAAGGAGGTGGAGGAGGTGGACCAAAAATGATCAGATTCAACTTGCATTAGAATAACAACTGCTCTACTTCACATTCTTAAATCTAAAACTTTTAGTACTTGATTTGTAACAAGACTGTAAGGTTTTGTTGTTATTTAGGAAGAAATCCACCAGTGTTTTGCACAGAACTCGCCTGGCCTCATCACATAGTATTACAACAAAACACTACACCCAATAAATGCATTTTTTTTTCAGGCAAAAACATTACAAGTGAAAAAGTCAATAAAACCAGTCATTCTTGTTAACCGTTTTTCAATCTGGAATAAGTAGAAATGTATGGAACCACGAATTTTAAACAGTGTTTTTAATTGAAAATAAAGCTAAAGCATGCTTTTCAACAGTGCAAATTTCCATAATTTTGATTTACTGCTTCCATCATCACAACACAGTACACCAGCATGGCCCTTACCAAGGGCTAGACCCTAGCCATTTGCATGTTGAGCTACTTTGATTTTAAGTGCAAATATAGATAGTCACCTCTGATTGTCACTTGCAGTAGAAACTCTCCTGCTCTATACACAGGATGGTCTGAAAACAGAAGTTTTGAGAGATTCAGAAAAAGTATAAAGTAATAAAATCCAAGTGCCTGAGTTCTGGTACCAAAAAGCCCTGAAATAACTGTTATTTTTCATTTGAAGCATTACAATTCTGACCCCTCATTTTCTTTTTCTTGATCGTATTTACTGCTTTGTCCCTAGGAAGAGTTAGACCATAAAATATCCTGCTATTAAGAGAAATATTTCAATTGTTCTAAGCTTAAAGAATCATGTTCAGACCACAAGATAAGCAGGACAATAGAAAGAGTCACCTTATTAAAAACCTTTGGGTGAGAACACAAAAAGGACTTTTCCAATTTCAAGGAGTGGTTGTAAAAGTAAAATCACACCTTTTTTCACCAAAAAAAAATCTCCTATTTATTTTACTCATATATATGAGGCAGCTTTTACCAGCATTTAATCAGGACTCACACCCCAATCTTTGCACTCCAAAAAAAAAAAAAAGAGAGAGAGAGAAAAAGAAAAAAGTTAAGTGCAACTATTCTTGGAGAGAGAATGAGGGGCGTAAAAAGAAAAAGATACCCCACAAACAAGAGCTCCAGAAAATAACATTTTGAGCTCACAGAAACTTCTTGCTACCTCACTGTGTAACCATGAAACCTAACAAACTTTCACTGAATTAACAGTTACACTTTCAGGTCTGAAATCTAGTGCATAAACTTAATGGCTCATTGTAATATTTATTATTCAACCTTTTGACATTTATTTGTAGCAGTTGAATTGAGGTACCGGGTGCATTATTAGCATCGAAACAGTAAAGTGTTCCAGCTCTACCATAATAACTGAGTTTTACTTGAGTCTTTAGCCTGAAGTAGTCTGTGGAATGTAAACCAGCCCTTCTCCCACCCCGCCCCCACCCTACTCCCC